GTGTTGCTGTAGGCAGGGGGGGAACCGCTCCGGGCCTGCACGTCCAGCACCAGAACTGCCTGGGACTCGTGATCCAGAGGCAGGCTGGTGCGCAGCTGCCCCGAGGCTGAGTCGATGGAGAAATAGCCATGAGGGTCACCCGAGGAGATGGAGTAGAAGATGTCATCAGCATGACCTGTGGGCAAGAGGACAGAGACAGAAGGAATGAGGTGCCATCCAGCTTACTGCCTCAGCCCCGGGTCACAAAGCTGTGCTCCAAGGGGCGCAGCAGCACAGTGCCCATGTGCACAGCCCCCAGTGTGCTTACACACTTGTGTGAGCACAGGTGCTGAGCCGGGTGCACACTCAGGCACACTCAGGTGTGAGTGTGTGGAGCTCTCAGAGCAGGGCCGCTCCATGAGGAAGTGTGGTGGATGCTGGACCCCAAGGACAGTGTGGGGACAAGGAAAGTGGCAACATGCAAAAGGGACACGGCCATACCTGGTGGGTTCTGGGCCTGGACAGCCCCCACAGTGGCGCCCTGTGGCATGTCCTCGGGCACGCTGAAGAAGTACTGGGCTTGCTCAAAGACAGGGGGTGAGACTGTGCCCTCCACGATGCTGATGTTTACCCGGGCATTGGGCTGTGCCTGCAGGCCCCCCCCGTCCTGAGCAGAGATCACCAGCTGCACCAGGGTGTTGGCTTTGCCACTCAGAGACCATGACAGAGAAATGACACCTGAGGAAGAAAGTCATTGATGCGGCATTGTGCTGCACCCCTGGCTCCAGGGGACAGACCAAACCACAAGGTGGAAAAGACAGACCAGAAGGGGTAGGAAACAACGTGCATCACAGTGGGAGCCCACCACGGAGGAGCTGGACTGAATGAGTGGAGCTCTCCCAGGAAAGCCTCCCCAAATCCTCCGCACTTTGTCTTACAGCCAGCTCTGAGTTTAGTGGTGGTAGAGGCTGTGGGGCACGAGCCAGAAGGCAGGTCTTGGGAGAGGGAAAGGCAGGGAGAAGGCTTCCAATCTGGGGCACAGGGTGAGTGTCATAGCACAGCAAGCAGGCCTGGGCTGGCAGAATGGGTCTGGGAGGGGATATACAAGTGAAGGACCATGGTTGATAGGCCTTACAAAGGAGGTAGTGCTGCATTAGGGGGGCTGGTAGGGCTTGTCACCCTCCCAGTCACATGCTGGGAATTGAGAAGCAGTGTGCAGATTCCCCAATGCACCTTTCTGTCCTGCTGAGCATCCCTGGCATCACATACCCATGCACCCACTTCCCCAGCAGAAACTGCTCTGGCTTCCAGCAGATGCAGCCAATGAGAACAGTGGGATCAAGAGTGACAGAGTTATAGAGGAGAGTTAACTGAGCTGGAGAAGAGGGGACTGGCAGGGACAAGAAAGGAAGCAGGATACAGCCTGATCATACAGCTGTGTGATCAGCACACAAGAGGAAGGGCACAGTGAGTCGGAGATGGGAAATGGGGAGAAGAAGGTAGACAGGACAAATGAAGAACACAACAGGGAGCAGTAACAAAAAGTCAGGGACTGAGTCTGGGAAGGGGTTACGAGAGGCTAAGGAAGTTTAGCAGGGAAGGATGTGGCAGGGAGAGGAACAGATGTGCTCTGGAGACAGGCTGCACTGCTGAGGTGGCCAAGCAGGGACACTCAGGCTGGTTTTCAGGATACCTCCCACATCACAGCGCTCCAACGGCTGCCTGCCCTGGCTGCCCGAGGGCTCACCTGTGTCCTTGTTGAGGGAGAAGAGCGGGGGCGAGTTTCCCCGGACGATGCNGGCCCCTCAGGTGGTGCCCTCGCTGGGGCAGGTCCCCTGCCAGCTCTCCTGAGCAGTACCCATGCAGCTGGGTCTGCAGCACATGCAGTGCCCAGGGACTGCTGCCACCAGGGTGTGCAGGGAAAGCTTGGCTGGCAGGCACAGCAGATGCACAGAAAACTCTTGTGCGTGCCAAACCAGCTGGACAACACCCTGCTCACCACTGTTCACCCTGGCTCTTCTCTGAACCTGTGTCAGCTTCAGGCTCCTTTTGCTGTCTCCCTACAGGCACGTGTGAGCCAAGAGCTCCTGCCCGCTGGCCAGTGCTGATTGTGCCAGAGCCCTCCACAGCCCTGCCTGCTCTGCACACCAGGATTTCTGCCCTGCCCAAGGACATGCCCCTCCTGCCACATCTCAGATTTATCCAACTGTCCTGGCTGCTGCTTGGATCCAGCTGGTGCCTGCTCATCTCCTACCCTGAAGCTCTCCTGGGTCCCCCTGCGCACCCCTTTCCCCAGCAGTGCCCCCACAGCCAGAGGTGCTCCAGCCCATGGGTGCTCCAGCCTGCAGCCCTACCTGCACAGTGAGCTCCTGGCCGCCGCCCACGTGCAGGAAAGCAGGAGCGTTGTCATTCTCGTCCAGCACAGTGACATAGATGGTGCCGGTGGCACTGCGAGGCGGTGCTCCCCCGTCCTGCACAATCACCAGCAGCTGGAAGTTGGACTGCTGCTCCCGGTCCAAGCTGTGCTTGGTGCTGACCTCTCCTGTGAGGGAGAATTCCAGAAGGGTTTGGGTTGGAAGGAACCTTCAAGCCCACCTTGTTCCACCCTGCTGCCACGGGCAGGGACACCTTCCACTATCTCGGGTTGCTCCCAGCCCTATCCAACAGGGCCTTGAACGCTTCCAGGAACGGGGCAGGCACAACAAGTGAGAACACTGATGAGCAGGGACCCAGCTCAGCCCACAAGCTGCATTAGAGCAGAGCCTGTGCTCAGCTGTGCTGTTCAGCTGTGCTGCTGGAGCCCTGCAGCACGGGGCAGTAAGGTGAACATTCTGCTGCTGATTTGGCCCGGCTGCCATCACTGCTGCCCTGCCCTGGGCGCTCGCAGCAGACAGCCCCACCTGGGAGG